GTACAGTCCCTTTAAAAATACGTGTACAGTCCCTTTAAAAATACGCGTACAGTCCCTTTAAAAATACGTGTACAGTCCCTTTAAAAATACGCGTACAGTCCCTTTAAAAATACGTGTACAGTCCCTTTAAAAATACGCGTACAGTCCCTTTAAAAATACGTGTACAGTCCCTTTAAAAATACGCGTACAGTCCCTTTAAAAATACGTGTACAGTCCCTTTAAAAATACGCGTACAGTCCCTTTAAAAATACGTGTACAGTCCCTTTAAAAATACGCGTACAGTCCCTTTAAAAATACGTGTACAGTCCCTTTAAAAATACGCGTACAGTCCCTTTAAAAATACGTGTACAGTCCCTTTAAAAATTTCCTTGTTTAGTGCTACCTCTGTTCAGAGCACACATCTTGTTCAAAATACGGAGCCGAAGGGACCAGCTTCGGTAAGTATTATATTAACCAAATTATACTAAAGGAATTGAGTTATTTAGCCACTAACTCAATTGTCTTATCCCTGTATCTTTGCAACCTGAGGTATGCCAAACTCAGAATATTTAATTTGAGAGAATTTACAATTTGAAATATCTTTAATCTATGACATTCGGTAGCTAAGATATCGGGATTAGAAAATCAGAGTTTGTGGCATAGACTCAATTATTTGGCGTTGATGTGGGTCCAAGCTTAAACTTTTTAGAAAATATATATTGGTCTCATGGTTGACCGAGTGCAGCTCTCAGGGTTTTGGAATCGCTCCCAAGGTTTTGAGTGCTCTCAGGATTTTGGAGTTGCCCCCAGGGTTTTGAAGTAAAATGTAAAGTGTATCCGACCTTTCACAACCTGATTAGGGTAATTATGGGGTCCACCTATCATAGTTTTTCTAAAGTTTGTTCAGGTTGTATATCAGGGTTTAGGTATTAGACCACAGGAATGAAGAATCCATCTAGGTGGAGTAAATCACAAGCAGAGCATTCTGACCTACTACTATGTGGTTTATCCTACCAAATTCGAGGACATACCGGAAAACATCTTCAAATTGGTATTTTAGCATATTTCTTAGAATCCAGAGTCTAAAACTAAAGAATGCTCGAATTTTAAGTTCGAGGTTAAAAGTTCTGTAAAATAATGAATAGCTACTTAAATATTAAACTTTCT